TTTTAAATAACATGATGTCAGAAAATCAGCCCAAAAGCTTATCTTATTTCTGTTGGTTACGCACCGCTGATTCGCAATGTTTGTCATCACTTCAAGATGTCTACCGATTCGTGAAAAAGGCGTATTTCAGCAATCTTTTCTTCACTTTCATTCCAATTCTCCCCGCACAAAAAAGGTTCTTCATATCCTTAAATGTTTGCTTTGCTACACCAATCCTATACTGGATATCCTTATTCGATCGTCCATCAGACGAAATCCAACTTCCCAAGTATTTAAAACAGTCCTTCTGTTTTATGCTGTTTCCCTTCACTAAAGGAAACAAGCGAACAAGAGCAGCGCCTTTATTATTTTTATATAGCGCCGCCGCGCGGTTGCAGTAACATTGCTCTTCGTGTACCCACAATGCCTTTTGAACGGATGCTCCACTAATATTGGGAAGCTGCTCTATCTTCGGCTATTTATTATCTTTGATAATAATTATACTGCGTCCTCTCTCGGTTGTAGCTTGTAGCATGTAGCTTTCCAGAAAGCTACATGCAAGCTTAAATTATAATTAAAAATAAAAATTGAATCCTGCAATAAAAGCGAAAACTTGTCCAAGGAGTCCTGTGCTATGCAAACATGCCCAATTGTGCTTTACAATCAACTAAAGATTTTAAAGACAAAAATATATTTTAAAGATATAGGCCTAATTGTATTATAATATATTGATTGTTTTAATACATATTTTAAATCAAAACGTTTAAATGTTTTACAAATTACAAATCAAAATTTCAATGAATGTAAATAATGAATAATAAATAATAAATAATAATAATAATAATAATACTGTAATAATAAATAATAATAATACAGAAGTGTGGAGAATGCTGCTATTTTACTTAAGCCTAGCTTTTTGATTATGAATGATTAGGCATATGTTGTACAAAAATTTCTCTCAATGCATTTGATTTATTGTTTAGATTACAATTTACAAATAGGCCTAGGCTATTTGTTGGTTTGAAGGTGACCAGCATATTTTATTTCATAAATTAAAGTTTACGAAATCATAGGCCTAGAGGCCTAGATACAATTAGAAAACTTTCATGTTATTAATATTTTTATCATTCATTTACAGGCGAAATGAACATATTATCGCCGACGATTTACAAACCTACTCGTCTGCACAACCAATTTTTCCTCTGCAGTGTTGACTCTTAGGCTATGTTCACACACACGGCGTAAGACTGGCGTGGCTTACGCCAGGCGTAAGCTAATCCACGGCTTAAAATTCCAAAGTGTTCACACAAACGGCGTTCGTTACACTAGCAGTAATATTGGCCTATCTGGCGTGGAATAGTTTTCAGTTTTAAATAATGTACGTGTTAACAGTAGTAAAATTAACAGTGCATCATGAAAACTTTTATATCTGTGAATTGTTCGAAGTGAACTTAGGCCTATATGATTATTGTATTTTAAATGAACAATTTTACTTTTGACTTTTCAGCTAGCATTGTTGATGTTGCATGTTTTAATAGACAGTCTAAATGGTTAAAATATCTTACAAAACACAATCAATAAATGCAATAGAAAAGGAACCCCTTTACCATTTCATTTATAGAGAGCACAGAAAAGAGACCAAAGTAGCTAATATATTGTAATCGTGATTGGTCAATCTCTTGAAATGAGGTCAAATCATTCAAGCATCACTGGCGTTAGCTCAGTGGCGTTAGCTAATCTGGGGTCTGCAGGTAGCGTTAATAACGCCAAGGACGTGGCGTAGTGAGTGGCTTTAACAACGCCACTGCCTAGTTCACACACAAAGGCGTACGTTACGCCAGGCTTAAGCCAGCCTTACGCCGTGTGTGTGAACATAGCCTAAATCGGCTTGAGGAGCTGTTATAAATCGGCGTCTTCCGACAAAACTGTAGGGATTTTTTTCTTTTTTTTCTTCACGAATTGGTAGGTTAATATTTTTTACAACATAATCCGCCAGGGCCATTACAAGAAAATCATAGATTTTGTACCAAAAATGTACTTTTGTGAAAAAAAATCCAGTTTTCTCCAATGCTTAAGGCGAACCGGAGAGCAAATGATACAACGTTTATATATGCACTCCATTTGCATTGCCTCTCCCCTTCTGGCATGACATGGGGCCGAGTTGACCTGAAGTTTCATAAGCAAGCAGCTAGTGGAAAAATGATCCAGATCGATTACCACCACCAACAGAAAATGCAACAGCACAGCATTCCTTTGTGTGCATCATCAGGTTATAGTTTGGGAACATCTAAACACCTCCATTCTTGAACCCATTGGATGGGATGGGAGCTTTATTCCAATAGGGAACTTAAACCGAAGATGCTTACCTGTGGTGTTGCTCCAGACAGACTTCTAAAAGGAATTTGAGA